TGTGTGTGTGTGCGTGTGTGGCTTGTTGTTACTCACAGAGCTCACAGATTATGGCAATGCAGGCCCGCACCATACGATCTCGTTCATGCAGCCCATCGTTGCCCACGGCAATGAGGGAGTTGGTGACAGAGGAGGGGAAGAGCAGCGCATTCACAGTGATCATCTGTACGAAGCAGCAGCACAAACACAGTGCAGTCAGTTTTTTAGCCGTGCTAGCGGCTCTAGGGATGGCAGTGTCGTATGTCGTCAATCAACTACTTTGCTCAGAGTGGACCTAAGATAGCGTTTCCGGGTAATTGACTTTCTAAACAAATCTAAAATATATCAAATTCAAATAAAAAAATATACAAGCAGCGCCTTACTATCTCAGCATTTTGTCTAATTCTGAAGAAAACTAAATTAAATTGTTTGCTTAGATATTATGTATGATTGTTAAAAAAATACACAATACAGACAAATAAAAAAGTTCCTAAAACCATTGGAAAACTCATCTGACATAATATTTACAAGAAAGAATCTGCTCAGAATTCATCCAAACTGCTCGTTTTACACAATTTTGTTCCCAATTTGGATTCATTGTACAGTTCATCTGTTGTTATGTTCTGTTAATATTCATAAAACATGTCAATCAGGGGTTGTCAGTTTACTCAATCATAGATAAGGGGTCCCTTAAGAAAAAAGGTTGGGGATTATTGATCATAACACCCAGATACTTGAATTAAGACACAACTTGTAGTTTTTGCCCTGATATGATTATATGCAGTTCAGAAGTAGTACAGTACATGACTTTTCGATCATACTTTTTGTTACATTTAAGTCAAGGTATAAATTATGTTTAGTCACACTGTAATATTTCTTTTTGGGCAACCATGAGATGTACATGTAGATCACTGTATCATCAACATATAGCTGGATCTCTACATCAGGGCAGACTGATTGTTTTTATACAGAATAAATAAAATTGGTCCAAGTATACAACCCTTGTGGGATGTAAGTCTATCCATTTGAGGAAACCTGGCAAAAGATTTGCAAGCGTTTCTAAGGTCAATGAAAAGAGCCCCCTACAATACCACCCCTCAATGAACTAGTAACTTAACATGTTAATTTTTAAATTACAATGATAATATGTTATTTTAGGTTTTGTATGTCCAAGAAGACAAGTGAAATGGCATAAACACAGTGTAAAGTTGCTTGATTTTCACTCGATTTGACAATAACTTAATGACTACTTAGAAAAACCATCCTTAAAAATACAAGCCATTTCCCAAAAATTGTTTTTTTTTTATGATTTCAAGGATTATTAAGTCATATCAATCACTCTATCTCCTGGTGTTAATGTAGCAGCAAAACTACAATTCTCGATCGTCCTAAACGTAATGTTCTCTAATTTGGACTTTCATGAATAGAGTAGATTATGGATTATCGGTAAATCTAGAGGCACTGGGTTCATGCAGCCGCTTTCTGATGGTAAGCAGCAGCTGCGCAACTATGTGAGCACACTATAGAGCTGATAGAAAGGGTATTTGTTGGAAGCTGATCTCACCTTGCGTGCCAGTCTGAGAGCCTGTGTTCTTTCAATCTCATTACTTTGCTGGATATCAATGCACCTGGTACAGAATGAAAGGGACAGGTTTATTAAAACAGAATGCCAACTGTTATACACGGCCTCTTTCAACCAGTCACTCACCTTGCAATCAGATAGTCCACCTGCAGTCCAAGCACTTTCTCTAGTACGCTGCTGTCTCTGATCAGGTAACGCAGAGCCCGTAATCCAGCTGCACGCACTTCCTTGGCCTCGTTCAACAACGCTAACCGCAGACTTGGGAGACAAAAAACAGAAAAAAGCCATAATCAAGAACACTGCAGCAAAGGAAATGTGCAGTAGCCAACCAACATGTCCGAATGCTTACCAAATAATCATCTCCTCATATGTAAAGCCAAGCTTCTCCTCTGAGTGTCCAACGCTGCAGAGAAGCTGTGGGGGAACGAAATACAGAGAAAATGGTCACAACTTCAGTACAGACTGTGTATATTAACCCAGTGCAAGCTCACTGATTGTCTGACCCACCAGCAGGGTCTCCTGATGTGAATGCCACATTGGTACAAATAAAGCTATCTGGATGTTAATGTGTTAGAATATAACAGCACATTTACTCAAGTACTGTACGATTTTGAGGTACTTGTGATTTTCTGCTACTTTTTACTTCTACTCCGCAACAACTCAGAATAACACTGTAGTTTTTACACCACTATGTTTACAGTATTTGACAGATATAGTTAGTTACTTTAGAGATTTTATAAACTTAAAGTTAAAGTCAGAAAGATAAACTTTGTTTCATCTCCACCTGCTACATCAAAATTCCTAACATGTTAATCAGTAATAATAATCAACAATGTAGGTAATTCTCAATTTAATACTGATGCCTCTATATGATCTACATAAACAAACAAGACCATCAGAGAGAAACACTACCGCTTTTGTCCACAGTGGCCACCAGAATCAAAACAAAATGAAGTTCTTTATAGGGACTTTTAGTAAAGCGTCTCAACACTAATACCACTGTTACTACTGTATCTCAATATCAAGTGGACAGATTGAAATTTGTGGTGGACAGAAGAGGGTATCTGATGGTTTGAGGACTCCCTGACTTTTTGTAAAAGTCAGTGTGAGGTCAAACCTTCCCCTTCATCAACACTTTGGCCAGTAACAAGGTATTTGAAAACTGATGAATTTGGTACTAATGGAACATTCCTCTCTTCTGCTCGCCATAGGATGATCCCTTCTATTTTGGGCAATTCATGAGCGCTGCTCATTAATTGCCAGCTCCACTAGAGTGTTAATTTTGGCAGCCACTTCACATGTAGTCTTACTCTATAGACAAAATATTTTTCTAAAGTTGACTAAAATGTAATTACTTTTCCTCAACTAAAACTGGACTAAAAGGTAATGAGTGGTTGCGACTAAAACTAGACTAAATTGGGCTAATAGGTATCAAAACTTGGAGTCAAAGTGACAATATCAAGTATTTCAATTTGTAAAAAAAAACAAAACAATGTATTACTTTTCTTGTGTAATAGTGATGAAGGTCAACCCATGGGTTGGGCGGACAGGTCAAGTGACAAAGCAGCATTCTGAGTTAAAATAACTTACTAATTTTTTACTTTCTCTCAAACACACAGCTGCTGTGCATTCGAACATGTGCATCCAGTGGTCAGCTCAGCTGGACGCTGCTTAAAGCGCCTCCAAATAGGTTAAATCCTCAAACTATCCTCTATTCTTTTTCTGAACAGCAGCCACACACTGGGCTTAAAAAAAGACAGTAGGCTACTAGACCAGTGGTTCCCAACTTTTTTCCTCAAAGGACCCCTTTTCTATCATTTAGTAAACTGACTAAGTGACATATTTTATGGATGTTTCATATTATATTCAAAACTGTACAATGAACCCAAACAGTGAACTCTGGAACTGCAGGAAGTTTGTGTGAATTTTGAGCAGATTATTTTCCTGTTTTAGGGAAGTTTTTAATAGAATTCTCTGTCTGTATTGTGTATTTTTAACAATCAATACAGATTATTTTTTTTGCCATTTAGTGTTTTCTTTGTCCCTGGATACTTGGCCTACTTGATTACTTTTCATCACAGAAGTCAATCCAAAAAATGCTGAGATATAGGCACTGTGTATATTGTTTAAGTTTCTAGAACGCCTGTAAAATCCAAGAAGGCCAGGTTTGGGAACTACTGCTATAGACCTACCTGATACATATTTAGTTAACTTTTCACCTAAGATGTGAAGGGATGCATTGTTGGTGAGAGAGAGAAGGAGAGAGAGAGAGGAGAGAGAGGAGAGAGAGAGAGAGAGAGACATGTCTTTAGTGAAGTGGTACTTTTGTTTGGTATTCAACAATAGAACATGTTTGGACAATTGGGTGTTTATTGAGCCTTGATTTTCCAAATGCTGTGGCGGGTACATTTTTCCCCCTTGGGAGAGCACCAAATGGCGCTAGTCCTGACAACTGTACAACCAACTATAATGCATAAAGTTGGCGGTTTGAGGGTTGGGTCTCTTAACTATTGGAGGAAAATATGCATTTTTTAAATGCCCACTACTGACATTTTTGCTCCATCTTGTATTGTTAATGAAAACAATACATACATTTCATTCTAGTTTACAAGATCTATTTTTAGCTTGAAAGCATCTCGTCTTAGACATGGAAAAAACGGGATTAACACTGCTCCACTATCAAGGTACAAGATATAATATAATGTAACAGGCAGGTAGGCATGGAATTTACTGATCACATTCAATCTCCCTTAAAAAAAACTAAATGTACAGACCTCATAGCCCTCCCATTAGCACCACACTCAGGTGCTGCAAGTGTGGCTTCACTGTTGTCTTTACAAACCTTTACAAAGTTGTTCAGGTGACCAAGCTTGCGCATGTTGGAGACTCCTTGCTGCTTTGCAACGTTCTGAAGGATTTCACGAAGGTTCTCTGCAGGATCTGAAATCAGTGAAGGCCGATATGGACCCTAATGTAACACAGTTTCAAACACTACATATTCATGTGAAAAGTATTCCTTTCATTCAAGTGCTACCATAATGCGACAAACAGAAACAATGAGCACATTAAACACAGTGGGGGTAAATACTGGTACCCACATTAAGAGAACTATTTGTCTGATGTATGCAATTCCACTGCTTCCGTTCTGTTGTGAAAGAATCCATAACTGAAATAATCTGTTAAAGTGTAATAAAGCTAAAGCTTAAGCTGCAAGCAAATATTATTATTTCAATTCACTTGGTCTAACAAACGACAGAAAATAGTCAAAAATGTCCTTTACAATTTCAATTTCCAAAAGTCCAAGGCAACGTGTTCCCATTGCTTGTTTTGTCTGACCAACAGTCCAAAACCCCAAAGATACTAAGTTAACCTGCACAAAAGATAAATCCTCACAATTATAACTGGTGCGGATGCATTTTCTGTCAACTGATCATCACAGCTCTAAAATAACTGGAACTGTATGACTTTGAGTTAATCTATTGAGAACAGCATTTTTTAGAACTTATTTTCTGTCACACTGACTGATCCATGATTGTAATGTAATTAAGTAAGTCAGTGATGACAACCAGGGGTTAAATTGGGCCGGGGCTGTCTGGGGCTCAGTCCTGGCACATAGGCCTATGCTCCTCTATGTCATCTTAATTTCACACATCTTCAACACTGTATATATTTTTTACTTTTGTCTTGTTCTTGATAATTCAAACAATGACTAAAACACAATATCTTCGTAGCTGTAGAGCACATAAGCTTAAATGAAGTGAATTTAGAACTTTCACAGGCTTTTGCTTTCTGTCACAGGGTTTACCCTTAAAGCAACCTACCCACTTGTCTGTCAGAAAAATAGTTTTAATAACAGAATGTAAAATGCTCTGATATTCTGCTTAGATAATTTTTTTATTTTACAAACTGTACTATAACTTTACCGCTAGACAGTTTGCGGAAGATCATTGATATATACATTATAAAGATGGACGACATGTCCATGCCCCCTGGTGGCTGGTTGCATTACAGGTAATAAAACGCCCCCTCCATGTTAGCAGATGGGCTAAACTAAAAAAATACAAGCAAGTACATGCCAAATAAATTTCTCCCAAAGATGGTTTCTGTAATTTGCCCGTAGTTATCTTTATTATGTTCCTGTAGTGTTCCTTTTTCTGATCAGTTTGGTTTATTTGAAGCTAAAAGGGTGTTTTTACATCATGATTGACAGCTGAGCCCTGCTTGATACCGCAGCTCTGACCTGTGCAGACTCCAAATGACCTCATCAGAGCAAGATGGCAGCGACCATTATCTTTTTTTTTGGGGGGGGGGGATTTTTGGAAGTACGTGTCGTCTATCTGTTATAAGTCCATAATAGATACACTTACTGTCATCAGCTGTAGCAAAAATCTAGACTGACTTTGATAAATGTTAAACATTTATCAAAGTGTCCAGAGCAAAGCATTTTCTCACTTTGTTTTATTTTATTTAGTTTGCCAAATGGTATCAATCAGATTTACATGCATGCGCACCCATGGAATCCCTGAAACCACTGAGCCCCAGCTTAACAAATCCCAATTTAACACCGAATAATAATAATAATAATAATAATATATTGCTAGAATATATATAAATATAGTAATAAAGTAGGTCACTCGTTTCCTTAAACCCTTCATTTTTTTTTTTTTCACTTTTGGCACTCTATTTTCAGCCTGAGTGAAATTATTCAGCACAGTCGGAAGTGTTCCTGTGATTAAATAGGGACACCACATCTCTGTAATGAGGACACTGTCATATCTATAACTGTGCTTGCACAACTTTAATGTTTGCATTTTGTTATAGACAGAGGCCCTTAAACACTGACACAAGTGTAGTGTCAAAATCAATCACAAGAGCCTCTTAAGAAAGATATTACAGAGCACAACTGTTATCTTTTAAAGTTCCAGTGTGTAACACTGAGAAGGATCTATTGGCAGAAATGGAATATAATATTCATACGTATGTTTTCATTGGTTTATAATCACCTGAGAATATAAATTGTTGTGTTTTATTACCTTAGAATGAGCTTTTTTATCTACAGAGGCGGAGTCCNNCAGTAGCCCAGAACGGACCAACCAAACACTGTCTCCAGATAGGGGCGTTTGCATGTTTCACATCTTTTACGGCCATCATAGTTTCTCCTTCGTGCTTGGAAGGGGATGGTGAAGCGAGGGAGTTCTAAAAGTACACCACAAGATGCCACTGCACCCTTCACACTGGACATTTAAAATGGTTGTATTAGAAGAATGGCAGACTTATACCAACAGCCTACTTCCTCCCAGCCAGAATAGTGTGTGTCAGAGTTCAACTTGAGAATGTTCTAAGAAGCGTTTCCGCAGGCTCAAAAGCCACATCATTATGTCACTGTACGTATTTATGTTTCCAACATTAGTTAATGTTACCAAGGTTAGCTGGCTCACTAGCTAGCCGTTGGTCAGCTAACATTACCCAAGCAAGCATAGCTAGTAGTAAGATTAACATTACTTTAGAAAATTCTTAACATTGCTGTGAAAAATTAGTAGTTGCTTGAGTAATGTTTGCTGACCAACAGCTAGATAGCTAGTCACCAAGCTCAAAGTGACGTTCATAGTGACCCAAGTGGGCCCCAACTGTTTTATAATGGTAAAGATCATGATTTTACTTAGTTATTTTTTCTTTACATCACTGGTACCTGCAATTTTAAAGCTTTATAATGTTTTATGTAAAATGTCAGATAGGCCATTTTACCAAATTAGTGCCATTTACATGATATAACAAAAGCTCTGTATCTATAATAACACATGTTTAACTTTCCAAGGCATGTAATTATCAATCTCATGCTATTTTATTTATTTTGTGCAAAGTTTCTAACAGGACTAAGCTTTTAGCATCTTTTAGCAAATACAGGAAATGAAGCCACATGGCATTAGTGCTAATAGTATGAGAACAATTAGCACCTTAACGTGGTTCAGCAAAACCTTTTTTTTTAAGTTTTGAAAATGAAGTTAAACAATACGTTACATTACTCCCATACTCTAAAAATAAGAAATGTATCCAAACTTTAAATTAATTTACCCTGTACAATATTTTTGTTATTTATATGATTTCTGTCTGTGTCCCCTGGCATTGTCTGTTCATGTGACGTCTGTATTTACCTGCTGTTTGTTAATAAAAAATAAATAAAAGTCACTTGATGCTGTTATGAGTTTGCATAACATATGAAGGATGAAGGAAATAGTCACACAATAATACAAAAAATTAGATTTTTTTTTCTTCTTTTTTTTCTATAATTATATTTGATGGTGAAGTGTAGAGTTAGAGTGGAGACAAGCTAAAATCCTATTTCTTTACAATTTACTTGATAATACAATGTATTATACAGATAGTTGTCATGTATATTAATGCACATTTAGGCTCTACGGAAGCCCATTTTGCCAATGTGACTGGGAAAAAAAAAGACTTAGCATCTTTAAAATAATGACTTAGTACCTCGAAGCATAGGAAACTTTCTCAATATTGTGACTTAGTAGAGATATTAGAGATTATTATCTTGAGATACTAAGTTTTTCATTATATTGAATTACAGAATCGGGTTTTTTTCTGTCACATTGGCGGAAATGGGCTTTGATAAGGCACCGATTCGGCAGAATGGCCCATCTGCATGCAGAGAAGTTCTGACTGGACCGGAAGTGCTGTTTCTTAAGTTTTTCTAGCTTGACGGTGATGATGACTGAGTTGGGTAAACACGCAGGCAAAACATGCGGGAGGCACAGACAGTACAAGTCAAACCATTTAACACTTATTTTTAGCATGACATCCCCCACAAAAACATATGCGCCCAGAAAACACCGCGACACAGCGGCGAGGCGAGCGGGAAGTCGGTGACAGTGATGCTAATTGGATGCTGAGTCCTAAATGTGTCCGCCGCTCCCGGAGCTCAAACCTACCTCTGGAAAGATCCAGCGGCACGTTCTCCTCCCCGCTGTCATTCCGACCTGTCGGCACAAACACAAAGTTGGGAGTGAGCTGAGCTGGTGGCCGACCCGACACGACCTTAGTGCCGCCGGTGTCAGAAGTGGTGATGAGAGTGCGGTCAGGCCCGTGTGAACGGAACTCTGTCTCACCTCGCACCCGACTGCTCCGTGACGGGCGGCCTAGGATGCTGCTGACCGCCATCTTTACAGAAGCCGCACTGAGTGGACCCAGCGCGTGATACTATCGCGAGAATCTACTTCCTATCATCCCCCTGCGCCTCATCTTCATCAGCACTCTGCCACTGAGGACTTTCCCTGCCAGAAAAACTTTGGAGCTCCTGTGTAATGGCACATAAACCAAAAACATACTAGACACTCAAATTTCACACATTCATTTAACTTAACATCAGCTTATACAACAACAACAAAAACAAAACAAAACAAAACTAGACATTTAACACTCATATTTCAAATCAAATGAAGTTTATTTATATAGCCTAGCACATATAATAATATATCAGATTTGACTAAATTTCTGTACAAATTAAAGTGCACGGCACATCTGTAAAAAAGGCAAGTGACACCAATAAATGACAATGAAAGAAACTATATATAAATATAAGACAATAACAAATATGTGTGCAAATGTAAAACAGACAGAACAAGACTTGAAAGAACAATATAAAATAAAAGATTAAAAATACTAAAACACACTAAGAGCAATCAACAATTTGCATCAATCCTTTTGAGTTATGGAAACTTTTAATGAAATTATGTTCAACAAATGTACTACACTGAGTTAGAGGAATCCTTTAGAATTAAAGGTATTTTTAATTAGCCCTTACTTAGTAATTGGTAGCATAAACACAAGTTTTAAAGTTGATTAGACTACTCATTGAAATTAACTTGTTCCAACTTGTATCGATGTTGTGTCAACACAACTCATAAAAATAATGTTTATTAATGGATTTATTAAATCAATCAATAAGAAGTTTTATCAACCATGCATTTGTTTAAGTGGTGACAATAGGTCCACTGAACATTTTGAAATTAAATTATTATTATTATTATTATTATTATTATTATTATTATTATTATTATAAGGGGAGAGTTGATTGACAAACTCTGAAATGTACTTCTGGACACTGAAGTATACTGTGTGTACACCTGACTATGCCATACTTGGGATATTAGAAATATTGAGGAGTCCACATTAACCCAGTGCATGACTAGCCATTGACTGAACCAGCATCTCAAAGCAGCTTTATATTTTAATGCTAATGTGCAAGAGAAAAATGAAAATGAATGAATGAATGATGCCCGAAGGAGTGAAGGTTTGCTGAAAGCAGGGGCAGATCTAGAGAAATATTTATTTATGTGTCCAGAGGGGGGCATATAGACTTTAAGAGGTAGCAGAAATATCTGCTGATTTAATCACAAGCAATCACATATATAAATATTTGCTTGGAAAAGCCCACAAATGAAGATATTTGAACCCAAAAACATTATTGTGGCACATTAGTAAAGCACAGAATAGAAATATCTAACAGTGGCAATAGAATATTAGAATACATTGTTTAATTTATACATGTCTTACATGCCTTTTTCATGTCTTTTTCATTCTGTCTGGTGTGTATTCAGTGTGCATTTCAGCAATGTAGGAAGGAGCTAGGCCATTCATAGATTTAAAAACAAAAAGAAGTATAAATCAATTTTTTGTGTTAAGAGAAGGTAAATAAGTAATTTTAATTTATTCAAACCTTTTAGTTGTAGTTAATACTCTGACTGCAGCATTCTGAATAAGTTGGAGTTTATTTAACACCTGCTTTGTCAGTCCAGAGAAAAACACATTACAGTAATCTAATGTAATAATAATCTATAAAGACCTGTATGGACCAGCTTCTCAGAGTCTGACTGTGACTGTAGAGATATTTATAAAATGATAAAGTGCAGTCTTAGAGTATCAGATATGTGTTTTGGAAGTTAAGATCAGCATTTACAATCACACCCATGCTTTTGGCATGCTTACAACAAACAGGGGAGGAAGAGTGAATCTGATGCCTGAAAGCCTTGGGACCTGACAGAATCTCTGTTTTGTGCTCATTGGGGACAAAAGTATAGTGTTACAGAGTTTTTGCAGAGGGATTGTTTTCTGACAATATATATGACTGACTGAACTGTTCATCATGGTCTGTGGGGAGAACTGGTTGTTTTATTGTACAGTGCTCTGTAGCGCCTACCAGAGGGGAGGAGTTGGAACAGGTTGTGTCCAGGGTGTGATGGATCTGCAGGGATTTTCCCTGCTCGTTTCCTGACTCTGGAGACGTGCTGGAGGATAAACCACAGTTCGACCTGGCAACCCAAAAATTATCCTAATGAATATCCTTACAGGGGCAGTGAGAAATACAAATGCAGATCCGACTGTACTGGTTGCATAAAAAGTATTTTTTTGTTAACTCAGATTTTATGCATATGGTGCTGTGTTCCTTATACTATGACATTTATTTATGAAGTTTTTTTAATTAAATCGCAATATATGGCCTTGCTTACAGTATGACAATATAACACAATATATTGAATCGTAACCCCTATATCGAGATACATACTGTATCACCAGATTCTTACCAATACACAGCCCTATTTTTTTTGTAACTTCTAAAGTTTCTTCAAGTAACAAACAGGCATCATGAATGGATGTTAAGTATAAAACATATAAAGGGAAAAACCACAAACAAATAACCAAAAGAAAACAAACAAACATAAAGCCTCTAAAATATCAGTTAAATTAGATTAACTTAAGGGGGTTTGAGACTTGGCCCCCACCTCTCCTTCACCCAAACACTGAGCATCGGCTCCCCACAGGGCTGTGTGCTGAGCCCCCTCCTGTACTGCCTCTACACCCATGACTGCAGTTCGGCCCACAATGACAATCTCATCGTCAAGTTTGCCGACGACACTACAGTGGTCGGACTCATCTCTAAGGGTGATGAGGCAGCCTACAGAGAGGAGGTCCTGAAGTTGGCAGCCTGGTGTTCAGAGAATAACCTCGCTCTGAACACCAAGAAAACCAGAGAGATCATCATTGACTTCAGGAAGCACAGCACCGACCCAGCCCCCCTTTACATCAACGGCGAGTGTGTGGAGAGGGTCCACACCTTCAGGTTTCTCGGCGTCCTCATCTCCGCCGACATCTCCTGGACAGAGAACATCACGGCAGTCGAAGGTCAGCAATGCCGGCTAACACTTCCTGTAGAGTTCTCCAAGGAAACCAAAATCTAAACTCCCAAACTGTGCTGGACCTTTCCTTAACACCTGCTCCCATGTGTTATCATCCAGGGAGAGGTCGTCAAGAGAGTCCATCCAAGGCAGCAACAGAAGATCATATGCTGCCCTCCTACCGTTCCCTGATTGACATTTACACCTCCCCGCTGCCTTCAGCTAGAAGCCATCCACCTAAGACAGCTCCCACCGCGGCTTTGACCTGTTTGACCTGTTTGCCCTCCCCCAGGGAGGCCGCTAACATGGTGATTAGGACAAAAACAAACAGATTTCCCAAAAACCAGCTTCTTCCCAAAAGCAATAACCACCCCCTGAATCTAATATATTATATTATATTGTATATTGATAATATATTATATTTATATATATATAATAATTAGTATTTTAACATCTGATATAGCACCATATTTATTTACAAAATGTACCACACCTCCTCAAGACTGTGGCACCTATCTCCCCCTTTCTTTTTTTTTGCCACTAATTAATGTATGTCCTTATATTTTATGTTTATAGCTGTATATTTTTATGTTTCTTACACTTTTTGTTTTTTTATTCCACTGCCTTTGAGTGTGGCTTTTAATCTCATTGTACATGTGTATAGTGACAATAAAGGCATTCTATTCTATTCTATTACACAGCTGTGCTATCTACTACATCCACCAGAGGTCCCTGCTTCCCTGCCTGAGAGTTGAGTCTGTGCAGCTGTCTCTGCTCAAACTGCTCATCAGCCTGTGACATTATATCCGACCATGATGACTTTTAGCAGAGTTCCTGCCAGAGTTTTTGTCTTAGCCTGTCTTCATGTTTATAGTGTTTGCCACTGACCAAAGTATAGCTCTGAAGAGATTCCCCTATCTGCCACCATTACCTACCTGTAGGTAATTTTCTATTATAATATCAGTCTAGAGATCTGTAAAATATTCTACTCATTTTAATGCTATTGACAGTGGTTCTGTTGACTACAGCTACTTTAAAGGACCAATGTGTAGGATTCACTAGCACTGAGCGGTAAAGTAGCATATTGCAACTGTCAATACAGCTCACCCTTCCAGGCTTGTAGGAGAAACTATAGTGACAGTGAAACTAGTGAAAAACGTGTGTTTCTCAAACCTTTTACAACACATACCACCTCAGAAAATATCAGGCTCTTTATGTACCACCATTATGACCAGCGTTACAGCACTGTAGGACGACCCTATTATGCAATGGATAATCATCACACGAGGCAGGTTTATTTATTGTTGACTGTTGTTGAATCCTGAACGGAATGAGTTCATTAATTATTTCCATTGTAAATGTTGTTTAAGAACCAGTGCTCTATGCCACAACTTTATGGAACAGCAGAGGACAAACTCCTGTCTGTTCTCCCTGAGAAGGCTGCTGTTTGCAAGGAGGAGTGCATCCCAAAGGGGCAATACCCCTGTGATGAGACTGTTTTAGCTCTGTGTTCCCCTAATGGAGGAAAATGTTTGGAGCCCTTCTATGGATGCATATTGGTGCATATGGTGCTGTGTAAGGCTGCACAATTAATCAAATTATTATTGAAATCGCAATATGGCCAAGTGCAATACTCAAACTGCAGAATCTGCAATGTTTTGATAAGGGTAAACTGTGTGACAAACAGCATTATAATGAAGTACTGTAGTGCTGCAGAGATGCCCTGGCCTACAAATCTTGTTCTCCAGATGTAAGAAAGCATGTTTGTTTGGTACAGTCCCCAACAAATGTCACATTATAATAATTTTATTTATTTTTATTTATTTTTTATTATTATTTTTATTTAGTGAGACCTGGGAATGTGATGTACTGTAATTTTTGAGCTGCAAATGTTGCTCTATTTCTCTCTTTGGAACTGTAGAAGTGGGGTCAATCCACACTTTAATATGTTAAGTTTGGTCAGTATTTTAACCTAGGTTGTTTATTGTTTTATATGTACAGTACCAGCAAATTAAAGAATCGTGTCATTTCCAGAATTTCATTGGTAGACGTAACAGAATCATTGATTGAGGACATTAGCACAAGGTAGCAATCCTAGAATGGAGTGATGTTGGGAGAGTAGAACACCTGGTAAGTAGTATTGCTACTTACTTGCCTTGTCTTTGACAATTTTGTTCAGTAAGGTTTGTATAACAATGCCCAAGTATATAATTTTTTTATTGGATCTGTATCATACAACACTTGGATGGCTGCACCGTCTTATTGTTTAGTAAAAGCAGATTAGACTGATTTTGCAGCATGGCACAGAGTGAAATTCATCGAAGGTCCCGAGAATGTTTGGAATAGATTCCTCAAGGTCAGAAATATACATATCATCCAGGAATATTGAGTTGCTACTTGACTTAATTTGGATATTACAGATATATATTTTGCCTTATTGTTTGGGCAGGGAGTTTGAGTGCGATCACACAAAGCATGGACATATAAAAAATGGACGTCGCATCTCCACTTTCTCCCACTTAACAAAATTGAATATTGATATTGAATATCCCAGATACGGTCGATGCCATCTTTCGCCATTCAGAGCCAGAGTCTGCACAGTAGTGATTGGAGTTGGTGCCAGGGTATCAAAGTCTTGCCCATACACCTGCGATTGTGAGGAAGAAGCTGCTGGCCTGAAAGCCTCTTCTCTGGAGCCCTGTCTGCTACCCTCCTTGGCCGCTATATACCCACCTGCTCAATTCCAGAGCAACAGGACGCGTTCCACAGAGAGTACTGAACACACGTTGGTGTCCATGTTCCAGTGCCCACCACAGGGAAAGTGTTGTCAGTATTGTCACACAGGTATTTGTCTCATGCAGTTGTCATCAACCACAGGACCAGTGTCCCCACAGCTGTGACAACATGGACAGTCTAGGAGGCTTCATGCTGGGTGTTGGTGGAGTGCATGGACAGTGTGCCAGCCCCAAAAGGCTTTGACGAAGTGGCTGTTCAGCTCTCTCCCTCTGCACATGAAGAGCTGGGCTGCCTGCACTTAGTCAAAATGGGTGTGAATGATAGAGAAGGGCTACAGGCTTAAATAATTAAATATGGGTAAATTTCTCTTTGGGGTAATTTCCACCTTGAGAAAGAAAGGAGCCCTCCCAAGGAGTCCCAGTGGTATCTACTTGAGGAATTTTTGCAGGGGCATTTTTCCACAGGAGACAACATGGTTACCCTCAAACAATGCCAGATAGCCTCTTCTGTAGTGGCCATACTAGTGGGATGCCTGTATATGAGAGGCACTCGATGGCCACTGTCTGGTGAGGGTTTCAGGAGGCTACTTTCTAGTGCTTTGTTAGTGGATGAGCCTGGGTTTCCTGACTCATGGTATTGCCATGGGAACCATTAGCGCAAGTAAAGTGATCACTGCAGATGCCTCTCTGGTGGTCTGGGGTGCCACTCACGAGGGGAGAACAGTGAATGGGAGATGGGAACCTCACATGCGTTATATCCACATCTGGAACTGGGCGGTATGGTGACTGAGTGAAGGAGACACCAACGAGAGGAGCTCCCAGCTAATCTCCTACATTTTACATCGATCGTTTTTTTCCCCTTTTTTTTCTGTGTGTGTTGTTCTGTGTTGCAACATAGATCTACATGTAGCTTTCATTTCACCACAGGGTATCTACATTTACTTACCGCTCAATTATATGGCTACTACTACTAACTATGTGTGTGAGAGGTAATGTCAAAATTCTTTCGTGAAATGGATGGATGGATTGAACGGGCCAATGAAGTGTGCCAAGGTTTTCTCCTACATTAAGGAGTTGAAAGGGGATGTTATATTCCTTCAAGAGACCCACTTGCATAAGGCTCTCCAGGCCTTGGATCGGGCAAATTTTCCATTCCAAGTTTGACATCAGGACAAGGGGTGCAGCTATACTGATTGGTAAAAAAGTTCAATTCACTCCCACTGAGACCATCTCAGATCCTAATTGCTATGTAATAGTAACAGGCTCATTATTTCAGACCGCATGTCTATTGGTGAGTCCAACGATTGGGACGATGCTAATTTAGGTTTGGAGACAGAATAACCTCCTGGATACATCTGCTTTACACATCTCCCCAGACATGTGTTAACCAACAGTACTCAATCAGCGTTCTTTGCTCTATCATGTGGGTCTTGCCCCTTTTCCCTGCCCTGTTCACCATTGCCATTGAACCCATGTCTATTGCGGTTAAGGCCAGTACCTTGTTCTGTGGGGTCAGGAGATGGGACATTGAACATAAGGTTTCCATATCCCCATAAACTTACATAGCAATGACTTCATGAGCTTCTTTTATAATAAAATTATTACTATTAGAGAGAAAATTAGTCACCAAATGCCCTCAACAGTTATCACTGGCTCTCCAAGTTCAGGAGATTTAACTAACGCAACCTCAGATATATATTT